AGAGATATTAAATTTTATCTCTGGGATGGTAAGGCCCACTTTTAGGTGAAAACCCATATCTTGGGATCTTTTTAACCGATTTCAACCAAATTTGGTACATAACATTCTTTTTATATTTCTATATTATGGTGCGAAAATGGGCGAAATCGGATTACAACCACGCTTATTTTCCATATGACACCATTTTAAATTCCACTTGATTCTTTTACTTTCCACTATGCAAATCAAGCAACAATGACTATATCGGCGTAAAACTTTGCGTGAATAATACGTTTAAAGTATGTCACCTTGTGACCAAAAATTCTCTAAATCGAACCAAAACTGTTCAAGCCCCTAGGTACTGAATATGTGGACCCCAGTACCTATAGTTGAATTTTTATCGTAAATATCGGCCATTGTGTAAGATATATAATTGAAATTCATATAATAAAATAAATAAATGAAACTATCGATAATAGTATGTCTTTGTTTCAAAAATGGGTTGAATTGGATCAATAGTTCTTGTAGCCCTCATATATCTAATATAAATATTTTTGAACTTCCGCGTGACTTTATACCGCATATGTGAGTTATCTCAATGAAAATGAGAGAGCGTGTTTTATTCATAACAAGATTAAATCGGGTGAAAATTTTCCTTAGCCCACATGTAACTAATATCAGGATTTTCGAACATTCGTCTGACTTTACTCCGTTTGATTGGTGATGGTATGTGAGGTACCTCAATGAAATTGTGGGAGCATTTTATTAGTCTGTGCAAAGTTAGTAGTATGTGGTATTGGAAAAAATTAATAAAATCGGGTTAATACTGCCCTCAAATTCCATATATTATACTACTTATAATTCTTTTCGTTATTCTAACCAGTTTTATGCCGAATATGTCGGTCAGTGAGTATTAATATTTTTTTTTATATATAAAATTGCTTCAAAATATGTTCTCGAGTATAGCTGAGCAATGTCAAAATTAATATATTTCTCAATCCGATATTTTAACGAAATTAAGTGGAAAAGATTTCTTAAAAATTATGTGGTTTGACGCTGAATTAGAATGAAATTAGTATATACTAAGTCTAAAGCTCACATCTTCATATAATGAATTCCGATTCTCTGGTTGACGTTTGCCACCTAAGCTTATAATATAAAATTTAGCCACTTTGGTGGAGTTAATATCACTTTCATACTTATGTATATCTCACTTCAAGCAATAAAACTGAGACTAAGTTTATGGCCTTTAATATAAGTCAAGAAGATACCAAATTTGATTGTAATTTAATCACGATATTATTTAATAATGGATGTTTAATTCAACATTTTTTAATATACGGCTTGGAGGAATTTTCTGATCTTTGATTTTCCCAGCTCACATGTACTTATGGTATAATTTTTTTCGTCAATTTGATAATTTAATGAAATTAAATGGACAGTTTTTCTTAAAAATAATGTACTTCGCTGCATATGAATGAAATTCGTCTAGACTTTGTTTAAACCTTATAACCCTAATATACTGATTTCCGCTCCTCTGGTACAACAGCAACCTCATATACCCCACATATTAAATCTAACCCCTTTGGTTCAGTTTATATCACATACACCATGTTTGAGTTAAATAGCTTCTTTTTATAAAAGTTAACATTTCGGAGAAAAAAATAGTATTGACACAAAATAAATCTATGATCAATAACATAAGTTAATAAGATACCAAATAATAATCGAGTAATGAATGTTGAATTCTTTCGCAACATGTTGCAACAGAGTATAGTTTTGTTCACCAAAGAGTTGTTTGCATCACCTAAAGTGATAGATATAGATTTCTATATACATATATTTCTTCTAATATTTGGTGATAATCAGTCGTTAGGTATATTTTCTCAGTCATCATGTTGAACTTATTATAAAATATACCAGTCAACAATGCTAAAAAAGTTTCTAAGAGTGCTGGACTTTGTATAGAGCAAATAAATCTTTGAGGAAAAATTACATGAAAGAAATATTAGTAATGTAGTATCAAAAGGGCTAAAGACCCTTTTTATGTGGTTATAGATAAACTGCGACCATCGGTTTACATGTTACTGTCTATTATTTCAGTTTTGCGACACAAATTAATATGAAGGTCATGAGGTGAACTGTAAACTCAAGAAAATTACATTTTTACCTAGCGCCGTTGGCAGCTTATGAAAGGTTTAGATATTAAGATACCTGCTCTACATATGTGCATACCATACTTAATTATATGTAAGTTATTGTTAATTTAGCCTTCATGGGTAGACCCTTCAAAATAGGTACCATAGATCCCCCTGTTTTAGAAACCGTTTAACAAAAGTAATTTACGGAGGTACTTTCCGAGAATTTAATTTCAATACAATGAAATAAACTACTAATTTCTAAAATATAAATATAACTAAATATTATGTATTATTATGTTAGTGAATAGCTAAGTAATATATAGGTATACAAAAGTACGTAAGCTGTACCAACATGTTGCAAGAGTATAATAAATATCAGTACACTGTGTTTGTAGTTTCAGTTTCACTAGATGTCTTTACAAGCAAAGTGCTTTATTCAAACTAATTTTAGTGTATTACACAGTACAGTGTATAGTGACGAGCAAAAGCATAGCAAGAACTTACAAGGAATTACAGTGAAAGAGAGCAGCACCTAGGATCCAACTTTTAACACCCGGACGGACTGAATTATATAAGTATTTTATATATTAATCCATTTATTATAAATTAATTATGCCTAGATTAAGTAGAAAATCTATATTACTAAGTCGTCTTCAGAATAGAAGACGAATGAGAGTTCTTCGTGCAAACTCTTTATATAGAGATAGTGAGCAGTCACAAAATACTGTAAGTCACGCTAATCGTAGATTATATTCCGATGTACGTCTGTCCGAACAAATTATCAATACAAATCAACATAGAACCAGGCGGGAAAATCCGCAAATTCGCTCTGAAGAGCAAATAAGAGATACTCGAGGTCATAGGTCTCGGCGTGAAGACCCCGAGGTTCGAACTGTTGAGCAAGTTGCAAATACTGTTCAACATAGAACAAGGCGGCAAGATCCCCAAATTCGCTCTGAAGAGTAAATAAGAAATACTCGAGGTCATAGATCTCGTCGAGAAAATCCTGAGGTACGTTATGATGAACAAAGTAGGAACACTAGGGATCATAGAGAACTTCGCGCAAGAAATCCTGAGTATAGGGAACATGCAAGAAGAAATCCTGAAATAAGGAGAGAGGAGCGTGGTAGAGAAACATAACGTCGACAGCTTAGTAGGAGGGGTATGAGGGAAGAAATTTTGAATCCGAGACATCTTAGACAAGGTCAAGTTCGCCTTCGTAGAGATAACCCACTCAATAGACAAATTGAAAACTAAAGGCAGTCCCAACGAATCAGATTATCGAGAGAAAATAATGTTATAGAAACTGATATAGTGGCAATTTAACAGATTTCAAAAACATTTATTTCCAAAATATAAATAAGGGCCCTACTGAAATATGTATTTGCTGCGGCACCAAGTTCGCAAATTAAATTTCGGAACTATTGTGCAAGGTCACCAGAATGCTGCATCCGCCTTCTTTTTAATGCAAAAATTTCCTTCAGAAGATGGAAATTACAATTTTTGTGCTACTTGCAAAAATACGATTGTTAAAAAGAACGTTCCAAAAATATGTTTAGCTTACGGTCTAGACTTTCCTGAAATACCGGATTGCTTGAAAGGTTTAACCCTAATTGAAGAACGTCTCATAATGCCTAGATTGCCTTTTATGACAATCCGTCCGTTAGGATATCAAGGTCAGAGATTGCTCAAAGGTGCTGTTGTTAATATTCCAATTTCTGTTAACAATATTGTGACATCTCTACCAAGGTTGAGGCTAATGTTATACAAATTCACTTAAGAAGGCGTTTGGAATACAATCATGATCACATGATCGATACCATACGCCCCGCAAAGATTATGGAAGCTTTGCCGTTCTTAGTGAATACCCCTCTGTATCGTGAGCACAATATACATAATAATGAAAACTGGATTTTAGAATTTAATAACCAAGAAGGGTTTCATGAGCAGCCTATCTTGAGAATATCATTATAATTCCCTCTAAAAACAAATAAGGATAAGTCCATAAGTTATGTCGAGTTCTGGAGCGATCACAGCAGTTATGGCGTTTCAATGTAGGATCTGATAAAGGTTTAGCTGTGCAGGATTAGCTAAACCTTTATCAGATCCTACATTGAAACGCCATAAAAAACCTTAGCTTTTGACGGCCTAATAGTCAAATATTGTCAAATATCCAAAAAATCCCTATGATCGCTCCAGAACTCGACATAACTTATGGATTTATCCTTATTTGTTTTTAGAGGGAATTATAATGTTATTCTCAATATAGGCTTCATGAGCAGCCCTCACTACGAATTCTTTAAACAACTCGTCTTTCAAGGAAGACAAATTGCTGATGTCCCGCAGACTTCTTACAAACATTTTGGCACTTCTTTCAGAAGTTGCTGGGTATATAAGAGTTTTGTATGCCTGAAAATCTTACTGTAAGTGCATTTTCTGCGAATTTTATAACAAACTATTTTACCGCTGGTTGACCTAATCCCCTCAACTGATGTCTGCTAAACCCTACCGTCCACTGCTGAGGATACATCTTCAAAATCTGAAGCGTCAACGTCATCAACATCAGTGGATATTTACTTTTATCCACTTATACTTATATGTAACTACAAATAATCGGGAACTATATTATACATTATATGCGATTACATATACAAGTATGCGAATCCTCAACTTACTTATACTTTAGAAATTACAGATCTTCATTGGTGCTTTAGTTTCTACCAAAAGAATATTATTTAAAGGAATTCGCAAAACATGTTAACCAGTTTCACTGTCGTTTTATTTTCCCACCTATGATGCTCTGCTTTTAATTTAGTCCAACTCTTACAACTCGACTTCAGCAAAGACCGTAAGGAAATTGCATTTGAAAGCACACGTCACTTTATTTAACTTTTATTTATTTTAAATATAATAATATAGATTGTTATAATAAATTTTTCTGAATTAGTGTACTAGTATTATTTTAACAATACTGAAACGAATTTATGTTTGCTACGCAACGTGTCCGTATTATTCTGTTGACTTCTGTTTTTTTCTTTCTCCGAAAAACCAAATAAACCCACGCTATGTCCATTGTGCTCCCGTCCTATACCCGTTTCTCCGTTCGTCAAATATTCCACTTGTTGAAAGTACACACACTTTACTCAGTATTATTGTTAGTTGAATTAGCCCGTTTTTAATATCCCAAAAAATTAAATCCACAAAGTAATTTATCTGGTCGCCGGATGCGCAAAATTCCATGTTGGTAAACGGACATATCATCAGCTAGATTCATATCCAGAGCCATCAATTTTTCAGCAGCCAATGGATGCCACGCCCCGAAAGTACAAGCCGAATTCATCTTCCATATTAGGAAATTAGAAATACAAAATTAATATTTGACTCATTGTATTAAGGCTTAAGAGAGTAAAAAGCGTTAATCATATTTCGGTCACCATTATATAAGTATTTTATATTCGTTGCACTATATAAAATCAAAAGAATGAAAATGTATTAGGACTGCAGTGGAATAGAGGGATTCTAAATTTAAAGAGATAGATAAGATACAATTGAAAAAATGGAGATTTTTATTGATTACGATTCACACAAAATTTTAACGTTCTGCTAATTTCAATTTTGTTTGAATACGACGTAACGATATGTACTAATCAGGTCCGGATTAAGGATGTTGGGTACCCTGGGCTGGGATGCATGTGCGTTCCTTTTTGCCGTCATAATTATATACAATTCATAGGAAATTTACTAATAAATTTATTTCAAAATGGTTGTTAATTATATAATCAGATGTCTCATGTCATTAGTAATACAGTAACCAATACTTTTACATGTCCATAAATTGTTTTCCTTTCTTATGCGGTAAAAAAATATCTCAACTGATTCGTTTTCCCTTTTTGTCTGTTTGTCAGTATATATACCAACTAGTCCCTCAGTTGTTAAGCTCTTGATCTGAAATTTTGTACCTGTCCTTTCCTAACTAGGAAGCTGCTCATTAGTCAAACTGAACAATCGGAATCAAGTGTTTGTATGGGAAACTTTTTCATTTGACGTAATATCTTTACGAATCAAATTCAAATTTGGTATGCGTTATTTCCCAAGCTAACAATGTAATCTCCGAAGAAATTGTTTAGATCGGATCACTATAGCATTCAGCAGCCATATTAACTGAACGATCGGAGATGACGAGGTATCTTCACGAAATTAGGCATATATTATTGTTTAAGGTAACAATGTAATCTCCGAAGAAATTTTTCAGATCAAATTACTGTAGCATACAGCTGCCATACAAACTGAACGTTCGGAATCAAGTGCTTGTATGGAAAACATTTTTATTTAACGAGGTATCTTCACGAAATTAGATCGGTATCAAGTTCTTGTAAGGAACATTTTTATTTGTGGAGGGTGTTATAGCTTCGGTGTAACCGAAGTTAACGTTTTTTCTTGTTTTGCATTCAAGTCTATATCATTTGATTTCATGTGTATTAGCTCACTAATAAAATTAAATCGGTCGTAAGCCAAATCGTAAGCGGAAACTTGTTTTCAAATGCACTAATCAATTTATCAATGACTGGAAGAAAAGCTTCCTAATGAAATTTGTCCCTCGTTGACAGTTGCACTGCCGATAACTGAGAACTAAGAGGCTGAAAGCGAATTCTAGGTGAAATCCGTGAATTTTAAATTTGAAGGTGCTGACAACCCTTCTTAATACATATTTTACGCCAATATCCGATCTTTTGTGTAATCTGTGGACTACTTTTTATGCTGTTGCACCATGACGCTACAGAGTATAATAGATTTGTTCATATAACGGTTGTTTGTATCACCTAAAACTAATCGAGATAGATATCGAGGTTATATTTATATAAATGATCAGGACGCCGCAGCTCCACCATAAGATACAAGGATGTTATTTACGAATTGCATATGAGAGTGGCATGTATGGTTACAATTTTTTTTTTAAATGGACGTGACCCCGCCATCTAATAAGTTTAATGTACATATCTCCTATCCATTCCAAATTCTTTGAGAGCATATCTTTTTCATATACCTACTCACCCTGTGAAAATGGGTGAATTCAGATTATAACCCCGCCTTCTCCCCATATAACGGTTTTGTTAAAAACTACTAAAAATGCGATAAACCTATAAATAAATGCGGCAGAGACATAAAATTTTACACCCGAGATGGTGCAGTAGGGCTTCATAGGAGCGTGTCACCGCCCAAATTTAGGTAAAAACCCATTTATCGGGATCTACCTGACCTGGTTGACAATATTATCCTGACATTCCCACTTTAAGTAGCGGAAATGGGCGAAATCAATTTTAAATTACATCTCATTCCTTCATTTAGGATAAAACTTTGCACGAATTATGTCCCGAAAACTTGCCCTAGAATTCATATAACTAACAAAGCTTATGCACCTGAAGGTATTTTTTCGTTTTTAATGTTGGAAGAGTATGATGGTTACACCCGAACTTAACCCTTTCTTAATATTTATTTTACCCCCAAGTGTGGGACCCCTGAGCCGCGGTACCGTCGGTCCTGCCCTTAATCTGGTCCTGGTACTTTTACGAAAATCCTTTTCTTTACCTACTCTATTAAACCGTAAACGAAAGAAGGAGAGTGCTTTTGTAAGAATTTTTTTTTTTACAATCGCTACTTTCAAACCTTGTGTGTATTCCTTGAATTTTCATTTATTTGTATATGTACATAGTTCTTTACATTTGGATCGAACATGTGTATGAAGGGTACTATACTTGTACATACTGCCAAAAGACAATATACTAAATATTGAGCAAAATGAGGGAACGTTCTTTACTGTACTATATTAAGACAGCTAATTTTTCTTGAAACCTTGTCTTCACTAAATATTGAGCAAAATGAGGGAACGTTCTTTACTGTACTATATTAAGACAGCTAATTTTTCTTGAAACCTTGTCTGCAATTCAGATTTAAAGCATATTTAAATTGATTAACTAGATTAGTGTCGGCACAAAATCGTATGAATATATACGAACTTTTGATTGTAATCGATAAGGAAATAAAATTTATAAAAAATTTAACAAATACAATACCAAAAAGCTTTATGTTTATGTTTCTTGATCTCAAATGCAACAAATAAAGCAGTGAAACTTAGTAGCCTAACCTTATGAAGAGTAATATAAATAGTAATTTAAATAATTAGTAATAACATTCGTTTTTAATTAACATCTGTACATCTGGGATTTAAACACAAAGGCAACTGCAATTTTCGTCCAGAACGGACACAGCCTACAATGAGCAAGTGTTTACTATGTATGTAAAAGTATATAAAGTACTTTATAAGCTGTAAATAAAAACATTATATAATGAAAATAAAATAAAACGCTGTAAAAAATTTAACTCATCAATATTTGAGTTTTTTTATCCGAACTCGGTGAAACACCAGAAATATAATATTTAGTAGGTTAGATGATAGTTCTATAACTGTTCGGTCTAAAAGCATTTGGCCAGTTGAAATTGTTTTTAAACCTATCCAAATCTATAAGAAAAAGTTATAGAGCTTATTTACCTCTTTACTATAGTAGTGACATCGACCATTTAGACGAGTTGAAGGTATATATTCAATAAAATCTATATGTGGACAATAGGGCAATAACAATGCGAGTCCTGAAATTCATCAAAATGTACATGAATTTTAATCAAATTACCACACATAAGAACGTGTTACCTATGAAACCAGAGCTTGGTGGATTTCTACGAATGGGGCGACTTCCAACAAAAGTTTGTAAACTTTGCCAAAGACGCCATACCGAATGTGGGTCAATAAGAAATGCTCTCGAATTTGGATAGCTGTGTCGATATATCTTGTAGTTGGTAAATAAGTCATAGTCTGCAGTTCTACTCCATTCACTTAATGAGGAGTTATACTTCCCCGGATCCCAAGCAGCAATTGTAACATTTTGAAATATAGGTGCGTGTGTGAAATTGAATTGAGACTTAGTAACAACCTAAATTATCAAAAAATATATAAACGCAATTAGTCATAAGTAAAATCAATTTAAATATTTCGTTAAAAAGTGTGCTGGTATATTTATTTATAAACAACTTAGACTAGTGCATTTAAAAATGGTAAAAAATTAAATAAATAATCTATGTGCGATTTGTGGTCTGGAAGAAAAAGGGGTTGGGCGTTGTTGAATTTTTAAAGGTTAAAATCGGCTTATCTCGATTTGCGGCAAAATTACGGGTCCTATAGAAAAACGTTGTCGTAATGAAGAGATCTACAATTGTATTAACAGCCTTTTCACACAATCTCAAAATTTATATGAAAAAATTCAAATAACCCAATTTTTGGGTTTTTTTACTTTTATCTTTTACAAAAAAAATGTTTCATGAAATTTGGTGTAAACTTACCTAACCCAGTTTTTAAGTTTTTTCCTTTCATCTTGCACAGAAAATTTTTTGCTTTCACGAAATTTGCTGCATCCTGACCGTCTTATGTGCAAATACAATGCATTTCTATAAATTTAAAATATTAATTTTTCCACTTTTTTTTGACTTTATATCGAAAAACCCCTAATTTTCAATTGAAAATTCTCACTTCGAAATATCAGAGTATATTCAAAAATCAGCAGGCATTAGGTTAGTGGAATTATCTACTTTCATATGGTATGGTAAATTTTGCCAGATATTAAGTCAAAAAACGGTGGAAAAATTAATATTTTAAATTAAAAAAATACAGCGTATTTGAGGCATAAAAAGGTAAGTTTACAAAGAATTTCCTGAAAGAAAAAAAATTGTGTTAATACAAAGATATATACATTTTTATACTCTCGCAACCTGTTGCTACAGAGTATAATAGTTTTGTTCACCTAACGGTTGTTTGTATCACCTAAAACTAATCGAGTTAGATATAGGGTTATGTATATATAAATGATCAGGATGAAGAGACGAGTTGAAATCCGGGTGACTGTCTGTCCGTCTGTCCGTCCGTCCGTCCGTGCAAGCTCTAACTTGAGTAAAAATTGAGATATCTTTATAAAACTTGGTAGACATGTTTCTTGGTACCGTGAGACGGTTGGTATTGCAGATGGGCGTAATCGGACCACTGCCACGCCCACAAAACGCCATTAATCAAAAACAAATAACTTGCCATAACTAAGCTCCGCAATAAGATACAAGACTGTTATTTGGTACACAGGATCACATTAGGGAGGGGCATCTGCAGTTAAAACTTTTTTTTTAAAAGTGGGCGTGGTCCCGCCTCTAATAGGTTTAATGTGCATATCTCCTAAACCGCTAATGCTATAATAACAGAATTCACTAGAAGCAAATGTTTTTAGCACTTCTATTGACGGTGTGAAAATAGTTGAAATCGGGTGGCAACTCCGCCCACTCCCCATATAACGGTACTGTTAAAAACTACTAAAAGCGCGATAAATCAAGCACTAAACACGCCAGTGGCACAGCCCACTTTTAGGTGAAAACCCATATCTTGAGATCTGCTTAACCGATTTCAACCAAATTCGGTGCGTAACGTTCTTTTCATGTTTCTATGTCATAGTGCGAAAATGGGCGAAATCGGATTACAACCACGCCTATTTTCCATATGACACCATTTTAAATACCACTTGATTCTTTCACTTTCCACTATGCAAATCAGGCAACAAAGACTGTATCGGGATAAAACTTTGCGTGAATAATGCGATTAAAGTATGCCACCTTGTGGCCAAAAATTGTTTAAATCGAACCAAAACTGTTTAAGCCCCTAAGTACTAAATATGTGGACCCCAGTGCCTATAGTTGACCCTCTACCGAAAATATCAGCCAATCCACAAAGAAATCTCAAACGAGTATACCATTTGACTTTGCGAGAGTATATAATGTTCGGTTACATCCGAACTTAACCCTTCCTTACTTGTTAACCCTTAAAAATTCAACCACGCTTCTCACCTTTCTCTTCCCGACCTCAGATCGCCCGTAAATTACTTTTCCTTTCACTTTAGTTATTTTATCTTTCATTTCCAATGGATTTCAACCTACTATGATTCTTTTTGTTTTCAAAAATTAGCTACCCTAGTCTAATTTCTTTGAATCTTACCTGAGAATTTAATACTCGAATTGTAGTTTTGCTACCAACGTCTATTTCATATCCAATGGTGGGGGCATCATTAAACCGCATCACTATGTCATGGGAATCTTAAAGTTCATGTTGAGTGAAAAAAAGCTATTATTTTCATATGAGATTTGAAATAGTCCAGGAGAAGCGTACTATATGGACTACGATGGAACTATTAATTGTTTTGTTAAAGAACGAATGGATCGGGCTTTGATTTTATAATACTTTGAATTATGAGGCATGAGAACATTTCACACAATAGGGTGCATAATATGGTCGAATTACATATATTATTATTTACCGATAAATCTTCCCAATTTTGCACCGGAAAGGGATCCAGCACTCGATACAATTGCGCATGTTTTAATATCCTTTATTTTGCGAAATAGTTTTTGTTTAGGGAATAGCTTTCCGATTTCCAAGTTGTGAAAAGGAGGATCTCTTCGACGTAATATTTTAACCCCAGCGTCCATAAGTAGGCAAGATGATGGATAGTACTGTTCTTCGAAATTATTTGCGAATACGGGCGTGTAGTGTACGTTGTAGAAATTGGAATCATTTGTTAAGTCTATTAGTGATCTTTCAAAAATGTAAATTATATGTTGACGGTAATTCGCAGTTTTATTGTGGCATTTCTCCAAATGTTTATCGTGGCAGATAAATAATTTCGGATTAAACGTAAGTTTAGTATTTTTCGACAGCTTAAGGCGTGGGTGTGGCGAAAGTTTTGAAGAATTTATTGCTGGTTTCTCACGACTCTCCACCACATATTTCTCGTTAGGGTTCCAACGAATGTGAAATACACTGCGACGTTTGCGCTGCAAAAACCCTTGTGGAGCTATATTAAATAAATAAGTTTGAAATGCATTGAAAACACTATTACAGAAAAAATTTTATTATTGTGCATTAAGCATATGTAAGTATATAACACCCTTTTTAAATAAAATCAAGAAAAAACGTTAACTTCACAGATACAAATGTTCCTTACAATAACTTGATTCTGATCTAGTTTCGTGAATCTGCAATAAAAAATACAATTTTTTTCCATGCAGGCACTTTACTACGATCGATCAATATCGGCCGTTCCGACAAATGAGCAGCTTCTTAGTGAGAAAAGGACAGGTACAAAATTTCACATCGATAGCTTAAAAACTGAGGGACTAGTTTGTATATATACAGACGGACGGACAGACGGACATGGCTGAATCAACTCAGCTCATCATGCTGATCATTTATATAAATATATATTTTATGGGGTCTCCGACGTTTCCTTCTGAGTGTTACAAACTCCGTGGCAAACTTAATATACGCTGTTCAGGGTATAAAAAAGTATACTAAAAACTGAAAATCCAAATTAAATGAATGCTAGTCAGATTATAAACGTAAGTAAATGTGTTATGAATATGAAGATATACATATTATATAATATAATATTATAGATACTTGTATGTCTACTATATGTAATACTCGTATATGCATACTCCACACATACATATGCAAATACAAAATACAATACGACTCACCAACCTTTTTCCACTATGCCAGAATTCCGATGCAGTTCGGAGCTTTTCCATGGATTTGATAAATGCTGGGTTTTCGTACAATGAGGAAAGCTTTTTAGTGCTTTGACTTTTGTGCTTGCATTTTGGTTAAAAGCTTCTACTGAAATTTGCTTTGTTCCTACCAGTGGACTAGCAGATATTCCGATGAATGATATGGATAATCGTTTCAGTGGGCTAGGCTGAGCGCCAATCAGTTGTATTAGAAATATTATAAAATACGTAATAATTATGATGGCTACTCTAAAAACCACTTGACCAAAGTTCATGACGAACGGTGATGCTTGTCTGCAAAAGTTATTACTTTATATATAATATATCTAGTAAATTTGATGCATCCGGAGTTCTCATCGTTAATTATCGAGTAAATATCTATACGATTCACAGACTAGAAAATGATCAAAAAGAAAGAAATTCATAGTATAGTATAGTTGAAACCCATCGGAAACGAAAGATAAAATAGCAAACATTAAAGGAAAAATAATTTACGGGTGGTTGAATTTTTAGCGGTTTATCTCCATTTCGGCAAAACTACGAGTTTTATAGAAAAACGTTATATGGCAATGTTGTACGCAATGAAAAGATTTTTGCATATAGACTTTTTTCACATAACCTCAAAATTTAGGTGAAAAATTCACATAACAAAGTTTTTGGGTTTTTTATTTTATATTGTACATACTGTATTTTTTTAATTTACAACATTAAGGAGCAAATCTTATTTTGACTTAAAATGGAAAAAAGCCCTAATATCAATCAAAATTTCATTTTTTAAAAAGTCAGTAGCCTATATGTTTGTTGCTGATGGTATACAAAACATATACATTAACATGGTAAAGTTTCTTAGAAAATGGAAGAAGACACCCTATTAGGTAGATGAAATAAAAAAGCAGCTTCTAGTGGTTTTCCAGTGTGGGTATTTATTTTTTTCAAAAATTATTTATCCTAGTCTATTAAATAGAGAAAGTAAGGAAGGGTAAGCTTGCGTTAGAAAATTTGTTCTCTTTATTTTTCGAAATGTACGCTTAAAGGTTAACCGGTTGGATGGAATACGAACATTCGGTAAATGGATTGTGGCTAATTTTTAACACGCTTATATAAGCTTGGGTTGTATGTATGTAATGGAATATTAGAGCTCAATTTTCACTGGTTTCCAGAGGTCTGATCAACTTGAAACTTTCAACACGTTTCAAAGACCGATGACGATGCAATAATTTGAAAACAGTTTCGCATTATTTTAAAGTGGGCGTAACCCCGCCGCCTAAATGGATTACTGTATAAAGCTAACTCAACCAAATTTGCTGAGAGGAAGTCCTTTTAGCACTTTTCATACGCTGCGAAAATGGGTAAAATCAGATAAAACCCCCAATTACTCACGAAATAAATGCGCTATAAGCATTCAACTTCACATACAAGATGGTAGAGAAGAGCTTTATAGGAGCAGGTGTAAAAATTGTAAAATGGGTGTGGCACCAGTAACCTTTAGGCGAAATTGTATATCTCGGGAACCATCAAACTAATTTCTACCAAATTTGGTATGTGAGGTTACCCAGTCATTCCTGTCACACACTGTGAAAATGGGCGAAATCGTAAAACGAATATAAAGCTATGTAGCTAAAAGCAGGTACTATCCAAATACAAGCATATACTATCCAAAAATGCCCTTAAAGCTATGCAGCTAATAGCATCAACGATCCATTCTGTCATTTGAATAACAAATATACGCATACGCATCCTTAAAGAAAGGGAAAACTCTACATTAAACTAAAAAGTGAAAAATAAATAAAGTTTTAAACAACTAAAAACACACTTTTAAACAACTTCAAAGTAAAAAGGAAAACGTAATTCCTTATATAAGCTGACAGAAATATGGACCGAAAAATATGTTCATTATTGTGAGAAAAGTGGGATGTACTCGATATACGAAAAATACGGCACAAACCATCCCACGCCATTATATATATACATAGATACTTATGTTTGAACAAACAGCTAACAAACCTATCTAAGTCTACTAGTGCAAGTATAGGAGCCGCTAGCGTTAAGTGACCATATTTGTCCCGACAAAATCCGGGATGGTTTTTTATACTCTGGCGCCCTTTTTTGTTCACCTAAAGGTTGTTTGTATCACCTAAAACTAATCGAGTTGAATATAGGGTTATATTATATATAATATATAAATTATCAGGATGAAGAGACGAGTTGAAATCTGGGTGACTGTCTGTCCGTCCGTCCGTGCAATCTGTAACTTGAGTAAAAATTGAGATATCTCTGTGAAACTTGATACACATGTTTCTTGGTACCGTAAGACGTTGTATATTAATCAAAAACAAATAAATTGCCATAACTAAGCTCCACAATAAGATACAAGACTGTTATTGGGTACACAGAATCACACTAGGAAGGGGCATCTGGTGACAACCAGGGCGTACTTTTCTAATAATACTAAATCTTAAATCTTTAGTGTCTTAAAGATAAAATCGGTCGAAAACTTGCATTAGCCTTATGTGGGATAACTGATTTTCAGGATTTTAACATATCCGTCTGACTTTACTCCATGTATATGTTTATATTTATATATTTATAAAATTTCTTGAAAATAAGTTCTCAAGTATACCTGAACAATGTCAAAAATTAATGCATATACTCGTATAATGATCTCCGATACACAATATGGTACGGAACAGCTTCATAGGAGCCGATATCAAAATTAGACATTAGCCGTGACACCGCCCACCTTTGGTGCGAAGTTTCTTAGTGCATTTCAGAGAATGTGCTGTAACGTATGTATGTACATCAGTCTTGGTCGCTGGTTTTTTAAATATCAAAACAAATTTTAATCAACTGGTGATTGCAATTAGTAATTATCGAGAGTTTCATTTATTTATTTTATTATATGAATTTCAATTATATATCTTACACGTTGACCGATATTTTCGGCAAAAAGTCAACTATAGGCACTGGGGTCCACATATTCAATACTTGGGCCTTGAACAGTTTTGGTTCGATTTGGACAATTTTTGGTCACAGGGTTGTATACTTTAAACGCATTATTCACACAAAGTTTTATTCCGATACAATCATTGGTGAATGAATGGCAGATGGAATTTAAAATGGTGCTATATGGGAAATAAGCGTGGTTGTAATCCGATTTCGATCATTTTCGCACTATAACATAGAAATATAATAAGTTTATGTACCGAATTTGGTTGAAATCGGTTAAGCAGATCCTACGATATGGTGTTTCCCCTAAAAGTGGGCGAGGCATCATATCATCGCAGAGATAAAATTAAACGTCTCTGGCGGGGTTGTCACTCGATTTCACCCATCTCCTCTCAGTGAATTTTGTTATTATAGCTTTAGTGGCTTAGAAGATATGCACATTAAATCTATTAAGGGGCTGAACCACGCCCACTTTAAAAAAAAAAAATTTTAACTGCAGATGCCCCTCCCTAATGTGATCCTGTATACCAAAAACCAGTAATTTATCTTATTATGGAGCTTAGTTATGGCAATTTATTTGTTTTTGATTAATAGCGTTTTGTGGGCGTGGCAGCAGTCAGATTCTGCAATACCAACCGTCTTACGGTACCAAGAAATATGTGTACCAAATTTCATTAAGATATCTCAATTTTTACTGAAGTTACCCGGATTTCAACTTATCTCTTCATCCTGATCATCTACATATACACAACCCTATATCTTACTCGATTAGTTTTAGGTGATACAAACAATCGTCAAGTGAACAAAATTATTATGCTCTGTAGCAACATGTTGGGAGAGTAAAAAAACGGGTGGAAAGACGGAAAACATTTTATGAGGTATATTGGCGATAGAGAAAGGCATTGCTCAGGTATACTCGAGAAAATACTTTGAAGCAATTTTATATATAAATAATACTCACTGTAGTATATGGGAGTTGCGGGTAGTACTGACCCAATTTTATCAAATTTTGCCAATACCACTATTAACATATCAAACACTTATAAAATGCTACCAGGATTTTATTAAGGTACCTCACATACCATCAACAACATATGGCATAAAGTCAGCCGGATGTTGGATAATCCTGATATTAGTTAAGTTTTCCCTCCCATATTGGCCGACATAGCTAGGCGGTATAAAGTCACCCAGAAGGTCAAACTTTTTGTTAGGTATATGGGGGATGAGATAAGTATTGACCCAATTCAACCCATTTTTGACAAACAGACATACTATTATCAGGAAAGTATCCTCTCTGAATTTCATTTATATATCTCACATCTTGACCGATTTTTTCGTTAAATAGTCAAATATATTTACTGGGGCCCACATATTCGCTACCTAGGGGCTTGAAAAATTTTGGTTCGATTTGAAAAATTTTTGGTCGAAAGGTGGTATACTCTAAAGGCATTATTCGTGCAAAATTTTATCCCGATACATTCATTTTTGTTTGATTTGCATTTTCACACTGTAAATTAGAAATACCTCAAGAATGTTACTGAGATATGAGTTTTCCCCTAAAGATGGGCGGTGTCACACCCTTTGTCCAAGTTTTGTTTTGGCTCCTATAAAGCTTAATTGTACCATCATATGTGTAAAGTTCAACGTCTCTGACTGGTTTATTTAATGAGTTATCGCATTATAATAGTTTTAATTACAACCGTTATGTCCGATTTCATATTTTTTCATACTTTCGTATACGATGCAAATTTTAAAACCCGTCTTACTCCATAGAACTTATTGAATGAAAATTACAAATTATTAAATAAAATCCATGTTTGAGAAAACTTCCATGAATTAGGAAAACTTTTCGAAATATCTGCATCACTTTGAGAATTTTTTACACTTTACACATTTCTGTTTCAAGTAATGAACAAGGAGCAAAAATGTTCATCGATCATACTCATCACAGAGCATGATTTCAAGCCTAGCTACATTGTGCCTAGAGGCAAAATAAGCCAAGAAGTTGGATTTCCAGACTATTATCGACGCATTCACTGCCGCCAAAGTTCGACTTCTTAATTCCAAATAACTGAAAATTGGAGAATTTTAATCACGATAATCAACAGATTTCAAAAGACCCGGCTTTTCATTACTTAAATCAATAAATAAATGTTTGAATAAAATATTTCTGTCTTCTTAGTAACTGTCAAGTCTTGCTATCCCTATATTCCGGTATAATCTGAAAAATTACTTTTGACTGAAAGTCTATGTAAGAACTGATTTATATATTATTGATTTTCAGAATCGTATAAAACAAATTGGTTCCACCCAACATCAACAAGAAAGCAAATTTAATACAGATGTGATAAGAGCATAAAACACTACGTCATATTTGACTTATTCTTCAAAATCATTGAAGTAGTAATTGGGAAGATAGTTAATAAAATTAATATAGAATTAGAAACATTCCTGTAGCGAGGATCTCCCACCTTTTTGCCCCTGAGCCGAAATTTTCCCTCGGCGGCCCTGATCATTAAATGTCTTAATACAAATGTTTATCAAGTAAATTAGAAATGGTTTTATCGGCAAAATCAATTAATTTTATTCAAAATAGTCTCCTTCTGCTTTAATACAGCTTGCCGCTTTTTGAATGGCCTCCACGTCTTCATAACGCTTTTCTTTCATCGGCAAATGCATTTTTCCGAAAACGTAGAAGTCGCACGGTACCATATCAAGTGAATACGGAGAGTAGTTGGTTGTTAAAATTTTATTTTTGGTCAAATAATCGGCCACAAGCGTCGATCGATGAGACGGCGCATTATCGTGCAACAAACGCCAACTTCCATCTTCGCGATATTCGGGCAGAACACGTCGAATACGGCGCACCAAACGCTTCAAAGCTCCAAGGTAGAATACCGCATAACGTTGAACAAATTCTTTGTGGAACCCTTGGAATCATAAAAACAAATCAGCATAGTCTTTACTTTTGACTTCTCCAGGCGCGATTTTTTGGGTTTTGGCTTATTTCTCATTTATGTCCTCACGACCAGTTTGAAAACGTTGAAACTACTCGTGCACTCTGCTACGGGATAGGCAATCATCGCCATAAACTTGTATTATCAATTGAAACGTTTCGGTAAAATTTTAAAACAAAATTTAATGTTGGCTCTTTGTTCGAAGCTCATTTTCACACCGATGACAAAAACCTACTGACACTTAAAACGCAATAACTTCACTTCCAATAGATGAAATATCATGAAATTTTTACTGGAAGTCGATAAAGCATAGCTCTATATTTTACTTTGTTACTTTGTTACTTTTTTACTGTTTACTTTGGAAAGCACGTAGTATTATTGTTGGAGACATAAAAGAAGTTAGTACACAAAATGGCAATAGCTATATATTTATTTTGATCAAGTAATTTGTGAGACATATATTTTCAAATGAAAGTAGGTTATTTCTTGCATATATATCGTAGATTTAAAGAAGAATGATATGCAGAAGATTTCCTTTTATGTGTTTGCTGCTATTTGTCCGAGAGTTATTGTAGTTACTATTGCGTGGTTATTAGCCCATTTTGCCTACATGCACATTGTGGAATAAGTGGTATAATAAAGATTCTGAAAAACTTTCCCCCTTTAAAAAATTACTGTATATACCCCTTGTCTCAGTGACAACTTACTCAGTATGTAAAGCTGTGAGACGTTGAAATTATATATCAATTGCTTTCATTATACCCTGAACAGGGTATATTAAGTTTGCCACGAAGTTTGTAACATCCAGAAGGAAACGTCGGAGACCCTATAAAATATATACATAAATGATCAGCCGTCTGTCTGTATATATACAAACTAGTTCCTCAGTTTTTAAGCTATCGATCTAAAATTTTGCATCTGTCCGTTTCTCACAAAGAAGCTGCTCATTTGTCGGAACGGTCGAAATCGGACTACTATAGCATATAGCTGCCATACAAACTGAACAATTGGAATCAAGAGTTTGTATGGAAAACTCTTTCATTTGACGAGGTATCTTCACGAAATTTGGCATGGATTATTATTTAAGACAATAATCTAATCGCCAAAGAAATTGTATAGATCGGATGACTATAGCATATAGCTGCCATATTAACTGAATGATCGGAGTAAAGTGCTTGCATGGAATATTTGTTTATTTGACGAAGTATCTTCACGAAATTAGGCACGAGTTATCGCTTAAGGCAACAAATTATTCTCCGCAGAAATTGGTCAGATCAGATCACTATTACATATAGCTACCATACAAATTGAACGTTCGGAATCAAGCTCTTGTAAGGGGCCTTTGTATTTGTGAAGGGTATTATAGCTTCGGTGCAACCAAAGTTAACGTTTTTTCTTGTTTTTATTATCTTGTTAACCCATACTACAGGTCACTTGCTTCATTTCGTTACTGCATACATACATGCATATGTATATTTTGCTTTATAGTCGAATTCTATATTTTAAAATTAAATTAACTAACATATAGCTCATAAACATATGATGATAAGAGCAAATTTTTATAATTATGGTGATGTATCTTGAACTCTCACCGATTTATGCCGTACAAAATCAGGAAAGGAGACGACATCAATTATACTATTAGAAAAATTTACTTAGCAGAATATATACATATGTATATCTATCCGATGTATACAACAAGTTTCAGAACTTAGCCACATTATGTTTTCAAAAACATTTCCACTTATTTACAATAAAATGCCTCACGTATTGACCGATAAATGTGGTATAAAGTCGGTAAAAACACTCACTTAGGCAAAATTGAACCAAACTGGCGTTCTCAAACCCATGGATATGTCTTTCATGCATTGGAAAAACATATGCAAAAATTATTAGTAGAAGATAATTAATTTAAAATATAATACAATTAGCACTCTCCACAAATATACTCTTATATAATAATATTATATTTCCACTGAAATCATCGATGTCAAGTCGATCCTTAGCTTCGCATGTTGGCGCCATTTCAAAACATCATGCGTTATCAAATCCAATTAAAGTCATTGTAAGTGCTGGGGTCAAACTTCCATTCGAACGACATGGCCTAACCAACGTAACAACTTGTGTTTCAAACCCATGGTAGGATGTGGCAACACACCAACCAAGCAAAGTAGTAAAGATTGCACGCGCCTCACAAGTAGGTATGTATGTTGAAATATATGTAATTTTGTATTGATTTTTTCAGTAATTTTTAATGAACTTCACTGGCTACTCCGATGGTAATTATTGCATTATGCGGTAATTCGTCACTGTGAAACACGGAACACGAACTTATTTGCCAGCAAGTACGAGTATTTTGTTACACGAATTCATTTCAACTTATTGCCATAACGGCAGCTTATGAGCCTTAATGCCGCGTTCCGCACACTATATACAATTAACATATATTATATTAAGTGTACTATAACTTCTATTATCAGCTCGCTAATTATTTGGAATTGTGGCAAGAAAATGCTTTTGAAATGTTTTCCTACCGGCTCGCCCCTTCTTATATAAGACCACGTGTTATGTCACCTGCCCTCTGCGGCAATCGGCTTGTTTCTGAGCCGCTGTTTGCAGTCAACACATTTTTCGCTTGGCGTCGTATTCATTTTCCGACTTCAGCACTCTGATCGGTGGCGTCGGGAGGTCGTTAACAGCAGATGGTAAATGGAAAATATATGAACTAAACTACGTTAAGGTATATTTGAGGTGAAAAGCTTCTACATTAAGTTCCGTGCCATTAACATTAAGGGTATGAAAGTACCTCTTACTGCGCTCGCTCAGCTTCAATGCCAACAATATTCTTGCTTACATACAAGTATTATATAAGCTAATTTGATGCTGGACATATTCATATTGTATATACATAAGTACACTCGGTGTGAACAAAGGGCGGCTGAAAAGAAACGCGGCAAGTCACTCTACAAAAATATTATACTGCTGGCAGCATTCAGTTGTGAAAAGTGAAAGTTCGCATTTACATGCCACTTTACTTTTAAGCCCTAAGTAAGAAGCTTTGTAGATATTAAAGTACATAATTGCCAAATAAACAAGTGAGTAAATAAATCTAAGTTCAGTAGTAACCGCAGTTTACGTATTCGCGCATGTGTGCTGCTCAACAATTCTTACAATTACAACCATCAAATACGTAATAAATATGTTGTTACTACCATAAGAAAATACAAACTAGTTACCGTATACATTTCTTTCGTTACGATTAAACCACCTAGTTAGTCAAGTTGCATAATTTTTCCATAGCCGCATCCTTTATATTCCTAACACATACATTCTTTTAAGCCCTTATTTCACATGAGTTATTCGGGGGTGTTGTGGAATATAAACAGATTTGCGTAGTTCTCAGAATTGCAAAGAATTGCAGGAAGATATTAAAAAATCACAGTAACCGTAATCGCATGTGAATGCATTTACTCGTATGCTTGTATACATGCTTTCTTAACAGATTTATATCACAGTATCGACTGAATTAATGCGTTTTGTAAATTCTCTTAAAATATCTGCATTTTTCCACAAATTCAAAAATTATGATATTTTGTGTTTTATTCTTATGTTTTCCCTCTGGATGGACTCACTCAGTTTCTTTACTAAATTTTCATATGGTAGTATTAGGGATATTGGACCCTGCAAAAATCATTAAACATTCGTTGAACCCATGCCTCGTCTATAGTTCCTAAAAAAAAGTCTAAATTGCAAAACTTAATGTCCGACTCCGAATGTTTTAAACTTCTGTGGAAAATGCGGGAATGCCCCAATTATTTGTAGGTAAGTGAATTCCTGATTTCTAAATTCATATTGTTTATTTAGCTAACTACTTGTATATAAAATTTTATTCTTTAGAGAGATCTAATGATGGCTGCAACCATCTAGTATAATTATTTCTGGATATAATTGTTAAATTGATAGGTCTATTTAATATACAGTTATAAACAAATAAAATATCATTAACATACCTAAATTACTTTATTTATATAAAATTAGAACTTTATTGTTGGTGTTTAAGTAGAACATACTGTGCTGTTGGGGGAACAATCGAGAATATTAAGTAAGAGTCTTATTTCAAGCAACTAATTTAAACAACTAAAGTTTAATTCTATTATAATTAATTCTATTATAATAAATAAAAAAATCAATAACAATAACATCAATAAAAACAATTCTTTTATTGGACCAAGACAAGGATTGCAACGCTGTATTCAGTTGAATATTACTAGCCAAAAACCATAATAATTGATGGTCTGGAGTAAACGAAGTAGTTTGGTGTATGGTCCTATGTTATGCAAAGGTGATCATATTTTTCTATATATTTAGATTTCGGTTACTACGTAGCGTGGTCTTGTCCTAGTACATCATGTGGTCCTGCTTTCTGCAGGGGTGCTTGACTGGTTATATTCATATTTATTGTTAAACTACATAAATCAACGGAAAGTCGAAAATCATTATATCGTGGTCAGGAAAAGATCTGAACTATTTTAATCCCATTTTTTCTGTATTAAATATATTTGAGAACATATTTTTTAGTCAATTTATTGAGATAACTCACACATTGACCGTTAACTAAAACTAGAATAACGAAAATCCTATTACGTAGTATATGGAGGTTGGGGTAATTCATGAACCGTTTTCATTATTGTTCATCAACGAAAGTATGTTCGCTACATCAGTTAAAATTGCTACAGCGCCTTAAATGCATATTTCCGTAAAGTTTCATTTCGATATCTTCATCGGAACTTGACTAAGTGAAATAATGCAAGTATGATATAATTTAATTATACAAGGTGCGTTCCAAAGTAAACAGTAAAAAAGTAACAAAGTAAACTCTAGTGGCGCCATCTATATGTCGAATGTGCGTTAGAATCTGCTATCCTTTATCGACTTCCAGTAAAAATTTCATGAAATTTCATCTATTGGAAGTGAAGTTATTGCTTTTTAAGTGTCAGTATGTTTTTGTCATCGGTGCGAAAATGACCTTCGATCAAGGAGCCAACATTAAATTTTGTTTTAAAATTGGTAAAACTTCTACCGAAACGTTTCAATTGATGAAACAAGTTTATGGCGATGATTGCCTATCCCGTAGCAGAGTGCACGAGTGGTTTCAGAGTTTTCAAAGTGGTCGTAAGGACATAAATGAGAAATGAGCCGAAACCCAAAAAATCGCGCCTGGAGAAGTCAAAAGTGAAGACTATGCTGATTTGTTTTCATGATTCCAAGGGTATTGTCCACAAGGAATTTGTTCCACCCGGCCAAAACGTTAATGCAGTATTCTACCTTGGAGTTTTGAAGCGTTTGGTGGGCCGTATTCGACGTGTTCGGCCCGAATATCGCGAAGATGGAAGTTGGCGTTTGTTGCACGATAATGCGCCGTCTCATCGATCGACGCTTGAGGCCGATTATTTGACCAAAAATCACATTTTAACAATCAACCACTCCCCGTATTCACCTGATATGGCAACGTGAGACTTCTACCTTTTCAGAAAAATGCATTTGCCGATGAAAGGAAAGCGTTATGCTGACGTGGAGGCCATTCAAAAGGCTTGCATCGAGCTAAAACACTCGTTCGACATGCTTTTGGACCGTGCAAAAAGCTGTATTAAAGCAGAAGTAGACTATTTTGAATAAAATTATTTTATTTTGCCGATAAAACCATTTGTTCTGTCTTTTTTTAAAAGTCCTGTTTACTTTGGAACGCACCTTGTAAGTTAGTAGGAATAGTATGAGTCAAATTTCTCTCATTGTAAAACTCTGACAAACATATCAAGCTAATAAATTGCACCTAAGTTGGATCAAATTGATTGAGTAGTTGTTGAGATATGAGTGTTGGTATTATCCAATTTCTATACCAATACCCCCACAAGCATAACGTACTATCGTTAAGGTAAAATTTAGTGCTTCGAACGTTTTTGTTAAAGAGTTAACGTTGCCTTTGTATAGAGGTGGATGTGGTTATTAACTAATTTCACCCAGTGTGACACATCAAGCTTTCGTAACTTGGGAAATATGCCTCTTAAAGCTTTTAGGACATGTCCACGCTCACATTAAAAAAAAATTTAACTAGAGATGCCTCTTTCTAGTGTGATATGTGATTCTCTGTAAAAAATTCCAGTTCCGTAACTTTATTTATGGTCTATTCCTTTAGCTTTTTATAATTTTTAATTACAACATTTTGTGAGCAATCTCCTTAGAATTTCAGAGAACACTTATTTACAGCAGGTTTAATCTTCAGTTATCCCAACGTTTCCTTGTTCCAGATAAAAACTTGATAAAGGCGCCAACTAGTTTTCTTATTATTTGAATCATGATAATTCTTTAGCATTTGAAATAAACTTTTAATTACAAATTACATACAAAGTGCTTGTTGAAAGAAATGAAAACTCATCGTCGAAAAAAACAACGCAGTTAGTTTAATTTACGCTTTACACGATCGCCTCTACTATATAAGCGTGGACTTAACCTAACAACGGTTAATATGTACAAAAATCAAATAATTTCTATATGTAGAAGTTATAAACACATCATATTTATACTCTCATAACATGTTGCTAAAGGGTATTGTAGTTTTGTTCACCTAACGGTTTGTTGTAATACGTAAAATTAGTCGAGATACTTAGATAAAGATTTATACGAGGTTTGTTCCAACAGTATCGCGAATTTTTAATTTTCGCAGACTACATGTATTCGGTTGTTTTTTTGCGTTATGTTGCTACTCATATACCTTATTTATGCTGACAAGGTCGGCCATTTCGAATGTTAAGTTAATTTTTGACAGATGTTTTGCTTATAAGCGTTTCGGTTCTCGTTGTTTCCACGTCATAACCATAAACCCGTGATTCATCACCAGTTATGACCCTCTGGAGTAGATCTGGGTCGTAGCGGACTGAGTGCAACATCTTTTGAGCAATGTCAACTCGACGCTGTTTTTGGTCGAAATTGAGTATTCGATTGGTTAAAATCGAATGGCACGAGGCAATCGATATGTTTAGTTCCTCAGAAATGTCTGTAATGGTGATTCGACGATTGGCCAATACTATTTTCTTCACTCCATTAATATTTTTATTTGTTGTTGACGTGCTCGGGCGTCTTGCATGCTCTTCGTCGTTGACATCTTCTTGACCCTCTGAAAACATTTTGTACCACCGCAAAACGTTGCCTTTTCCAAGGTAGCTTCACCACAGTCAACATTCGGAATGCGACCGCGCACTTAATTTTGTTTTTCACACAAAATTGTGTTTCTCTTCTCGCGCATGTCTATGAAATGATTTCTGCATTCGATTCAGATTCGAAATCTTATTTTTTTTAAGGATCGGGTAAAGTATCTAACCGTAATGGTATCCTCGTTTCATATGCAGGTGGCCTTTTTGATATCAACACAACAAATCTGAGTACAAAATTGTTGGTTCAGATGATGTTATTGAAGCTTTGTACATCAGACAAAACAGATATTTCATCAGTTACAAGTGGTGTTTGAATT